TTTTCTGGGATTTTCTGGGATTTTCTGGGATTTTCTGGGATTTTTCTGGAATTTCACGGGATTTTCTGGGATTTTTTCTTTTTATTTTCTGGCATTTTTCTGGGTTTTTTCTGGGAGTTTTCTGGGATTTTCCCGGGATTTCCCGGGATTTTCTGGGATTTTCCTGTAATTTCCTGGGATTTTCTGGGATTTTTCCGGGATTCTCTGGAGTTTTCTGGTATTTCCCAGGAATTTTCTGGGATTCCCCGGTATTTTTCCGGTATTTTCCCGGGATTTCCCAGGATTTTCTGGAATTTTCTGGGATTTTTCTGAGATTTTTCCTGGAATTTTCCGGGATATTTTCCGGCATTTTCCCTGGAATTTCCCAGGATATTTTCCGGCATTTTCCCTGGAATTTTCCAGGATATTTTCCGGCACTTTCCCTGGAATTTTCCAGGATATTTTCCGGGATTTTCCCTGGAATTTCCTGGTATTTTTCCGGCATTTTCCCTGGAATTTTCCAGGCTATTTTCCGGCATTTTCCCTGGAATTTTCCAGGATATTTTCTGGGATTTTCCCTGGAATTTCCTGGTATTTTTCCGGCATTTTCCCTGGAATTTTCCAGGTTTTTTTCCGGCATTTTCCCTGGAATTTTCCAGGATATTTTCTGGGATTTTCCCTGGAATTTTCCAGGATATTTTCTGGGATTTTCCCTGGAATTTTCCAGGATATTTTCTGGGATTTTCCCTGGAATTTTCCAGGATATTTTCTGGGATTTTCCCTGGAATTTCCTGGTATTTTTCCGGCATTTTCCCTGGAATTTTCCAGGATATTTTCCGGGATTTTCCCTGGAATTTTCCAGGATATTTTCTGGGATTTTCCCTGGAATTTTCCAGGATATTTTCTGGGATTTTCCCTGGAATTTCCTGGTATTTTTCCGGCATTTTCCCTGGAATTTTCCAGGATATTTTCCGGGATTTTCCCTGGAATTTTCCAGGATATTTTCTGGGATTTTCCCTGGAATTTTCCAGGATATTTTCTGGGATTTTCCCTGGAATTTCCTGGTATTTTTCCGGCATTTTCCCTGGAATTTTCCAGGCTATTTTCCGGCATTTTCCCTGGAATTTTCCAGGATATTTTCCTGGATTTTCCCTGGAATTTTCCGGGATTTATTCCGGACTCACCGGAGCCGCTCGGGATAGAACAGGGCCACGTTCCAGGCCACGGCGCCGCCCCAGTCGTGCCCGACCAGGATCACCCTCGGAATTCCCTACGGAAAACGGAATTCCCGGCATTTATTCCCTCCTTCTTTTCCCTTCTTTCCCCCTTTTTTCTTTTTGCATTCCCATTTTTTTTCCCGGATTTTTTATCTTTTTTTTCCCATTTAATTTCCCCATTTTTTGGGATTTTTTCCTCCTTTTTTTCCCTTTAATTTTCCCCTTTTTTCCCCTTCTTTTCCCCCTTTTTTCTGTTTCAAATTCCCATTTTTTCCTCGTTTTCCCCCTCTTTTTTCCTGCTGATTCCCCCTCTTTTTTTTCTGGGATTTTCCCCCTTTTTCCCCCTTTTTTGGGGGATTTTTTTCTCCTTTTTTTCCCTTTAATTTTCCCTTTTTTCCTCTCCTTTTCCCCCCGCTTTTCCCATTTTTTTCTGGATTTTTCCCCCATTTTTCCCTTCAATTTTCCCCTTTTTTCCCTTCCTTTCCCAGTTTTTTTTTTTTTTATTCCCATTTTTTTCCTGGATTTTTTCTCTCTTTTTTTTCCCTTTAATTTTCCCTTTTCCCCCATTTTTTCAGGTTTTTTTTCTCATTTTTTTCCCCTTTAATTTTCCCATTTTTTTCTCCTTTTTTCCCTCCTTTCCCCCTTTTTTTCTGTTTTATATTCCCATTTTTCCCTGGGTTTTTTCCCTCCTTTTCCCCCCCATTTTCCCTCTTTTTTTCTGGGATTTTCCCCATTTTTTCCCCATTTTTTCCCCATTTTTTCCTCTTTTCCCCCATTTTTTCAGGATTTTTTTTCTCCTTTTTTTCCCTTTAATTTTCCCCTTTTTTCCCCTTCTTTTCCCCCTTTTTTCTGTTTCAAATTCCCATTTTTTCCTCGTTTTCCCCCTCTTTTTTCCTGCTGATTCCCCCTCTTTTTTTTCTGGGATTTTCCCCCTTTTTCCCCCTTTTTTTGGGGATTTTTTTCTCCTTTTTTTTCCCCTTTAATTTTCCCTTTTTTCCTCCTTTTTTCCTTCCTTTCCCCCCCTTTTTTCTGTTTTATATTCCCATTTTTTCCCTGTTTTTTTTCTCCTTTTTTCCCTCTGATTCTCCCAGTTTTTCTGGGATTTTCCCCCTTTTTTTCCCTCTTTTTTCCCTCCTTTTTCCCCTTTTTTTTGGGCCTTTTTTGCTCCTGTTTTTTTCCTTTAATTTTCCCCTTTTTCCCTCCTTTCCCGTTTCACATTCCCATTATTTCCCTGGTTTTTTTCCCTCCTTTTCCCCCCGATTCTCCCTCTTTTTTTTCCTGGGATTTCCCCCCCTTTTTCCCAGCTGTGATTCCCGGCCATTCCCGACATTTGGGATCATTTTTCCAACCCTGATCCCTCCACACTCCCGATCCTTGGGATCAGCCCAGAAATCCCGGAATTCTCCCAGCCGTGATTCCCAAATTTCCCACCCAAGAAATCCCGGAATTCTCCCAGCCGTGATTCCCAGAAATCCTGGAATTCTCCCAGCCCTGATTCCCAAATTTCCCACCCCAAAAATCCTGGAATTCTCCCAGCCCTGATTCCCAAATTTCCCACCCAGAAATCCTGGAATTCTCCCAGCCCTGATTCCCAAATTTCCCACCCCAAAAATCCCGGAATTCTTCCATCTCTGATTCCCAGAAATCCTGGAATTCTCCCAAATTCTCCCAGCTGTGATTTCCCAGCCAATGGAAAAATCCTGGAATTATCCCAGCTGTGATTCCCAAATTTCCCATCCCAGGAATCCCGGAATTCTCCCAGCCGTGATTCCCAGAAATCCTGGAATTCTCCCAGCCCTGATTCCCAAATTTCCCACCCCAGAAATCCCGGAATTCTTCCATCTCTGATTCCCAGAAATCCTGGAATTCTCCCAGCCCTGATTCCCGGATTTCCCATCCCAGAAATCCTGGAATTCTCCCAGCCCTGATTCCCAGATTTCCCATCCCAGAAATCCCCAGATCCCCTGCCATTCCAAGAATTCCCAGATTTCCCAGGAACGCCGAGAATTCCCAACTTTTCCCGGAAATCCTCACCAGTTTATCCAGGAAAGTCACAAAATCCTGGGAAAAGGACGAGGGATCGGGATCAGATCCCGTCGGGATCGGCCTTTCCCGGCCTCCCCCATTCCCAGGAATTCCTCACCTTGCAGATCTGCTCCTGGGAATATTCCGGGATATCTGCGGGAAAAACGCCGGATCCGTCATTCCTTTTCCCCTCGGATTCTCCCTCTTTTTTTCAGGAATTTTTTCCCAAATTTTCCCGAATTTTCCCAAATTTTTTCCCTCATTTTTCCCCAATTTTTCTGGGATTTTTTCCCGCCCTTTCCCAATTTTTTCTGGTTTTTTCCCCCCTTCCTTTTCCTGATTTTTCCTGCATTTTCCCCTTTTTCCCCTCCTCTTTCTTCCCTTTTTTTCCCAATTTTTTCCAGTTTTTTTCTCCTTTTTTCCTCTTTTTTTTTCCTTTTTCCCCCTTCCTTTTCCCCCTCTGATCCTTCCCATTTTTTTCAGGAATTTTCCCATTTTTCCCCTCCTTTTCCTGATTTTTTCTGGGTTTTTCCCTCATTTTTCCCTATTTTTTCCCGCATTTTTCCCATTTTTCCTCCATTTTTCCTCCTTTTCTTTCCTCCCCTTTCCCTCCTTTTTTCCCTCTCTTTTCCCTCATTTTCCCCCATTTTTCCTCATTTTTCTTCCCTTTTTTCTCCTTTTTTTCCAAATTTTTTCCCTGTTTTTCCATCTCCTTTTCCCCTCTGATTCTCCCTCTTTTTTTCAGGAATTTTTTCCCAAATTTTCCCGAATTTTCCCAAATTTTTCCCTCATTTTTTTCCCCATTTTTCCTGGGATTTTTTCCCGCCTCCTTTTCCCGATTTTTCCTGCATTTCCCCCTTTTTCCCCTCCTTTTTCTTCCCTCTTTTTTCCATTTTTTCCTCCTTTTTTCCACCTTTTTTTTCCCCCTTTTTTCCCCTCCTTTTTCCCTCGGATTTGCCCTCTTTTTTCAGGAATTTTTCCCAAATCTTCCCGAATTTTCCTGAATTTTTCCCCCATTTTCCCCCCATTTTTTCTGGAATTTTTCCTCTCCTTCTCCCAATTTTTCCCTTCCCTTTTCCCGATCTTTCCCTTCCCTTTTCCTGATTTTTCCTCCTTTTCCTGATTTTTCCTCCTTTTCCTGATTTTTCCTCCTTTTCCCAATCTTTCCCTTCCCTTTTCCTGATTTTTTTCTCATTTTCCCCATTTTCCCTCCTTTTCCCGATTTTTCCTTTCCCTTTTCCCGATTTTCCTCCTTTTCCCCATTTTTCCCTTCCCTTTTCCCAATTTTTCCTCCTTTTCCCAATTTTTCCTCCTTTTCCCGATTTTCCTCTTCCCTTTTCCTGTTTTTTCCCTTCCCTTTTCCCAGTTTTTCCTCCTTTTCCCCATTTTTCCTCCCTTTCCCAATTTTTCCTCCTTTTCCCCATTTTCCCTTCCCTTTTCCCAAATTTTTCCTTCTTTTCCCAATTTTTCCCTTCCCTTTTCCCCATTTTCCCTCCTTTTCCCAATTTTTCTCTTCCCTTTTCCCAATTTTTTCTCATTTTCCCCATTTTCCCTCCTTTTCCCAATTTTTCCTCCTTTTCCCCATTTCTCCCTTCCCATTTCCCAAATTTTTCCCCCTTTTCCCAATTTTCCCTCCTTTTCCCGGATTTTCCCTCCTTTTCCCGATTTTCCCTCCATTTCCCTCCCCATCCCCTCCAAAAAAACCCCCCCCAAAAAATTCCAGGAATTCCCCACCAACATTCCCGATTTTCCCATCCCCATCCCCTCCCGTCCCCCCGACATTCCAATCCCAAAAAAATCCCGGGAATTCCGGGCTCACCCGGCGGAGCCGTGGATTCTCCGTATCCCTTCATTTCCAGGGCGATCACCCGGAATCCGGCGTCGGCCAAGGCCGGGATCTGCCGCGGGAAAAGAGCGGAATTCCCGACGGATCCTCGGGAATTCCCCCGGGAATTCCGGCTGGGATCCGCGGGGGTGAATTCCCGGGATTTTGCGTCACCTGGAAGCGCCAGGAGAGCCAGGATTCCGGGAATCCGTGGCACAGGCAGATCACGGGGCCCTGGCCCAGCTCCGCGAAGTGCAGCCGAACTCCCGGCTGGGGAAAAAAAAAACCGGGAATTCCTTCCGCAGGGATCCCGGGAAAACGGGAATTCCTCGGGAATTCCTGGGGAAAATTCCTCAGGGATTCCTGGGAAAAATTCCTCAGGGATTCCGGGAAAACTTCCTCAGGGATTCTGGGAAAGTGGGAATTCCTTCCTCAGGGATCCCGGGAAAACGGGAATTCCTTCCTCAGGGATCCTGGGAAAATTCCTCAGGGATCCCAGGAAAACGGGAATTCCTTCTTCAGGGATTCCTGGGAAAATGGGAATTCCTCAGGGATCCTGGGAAAATTCCTCAGGGATCCTGGGAAAATGGGAATTCTTCAGGGATTCCTGGGAAAACGGGAATTCCTTCCTCAGGGATCCTGGGAAAATTCCTCAGGGATCCCAGGAAAACGGGAATTCCTTCCTCAGGGATCCCAGGAAAAATTCCTCAGGGATTCCTGGGAGAAACTCCTCAGATTTTCCTCAGCCATTCCCAGCAGATCCCAGCAGATCCCGAACTGGAATATTCCCCATTCCCACTCCCAGCCTGGAATCCCGGCCATTCCCAGATCCCAACCTGGAATCTCTCCCATTCCCAGCCATTCCCAGCAGATCCCACTCTGGAAATTTTCCCATTCCCATTCCCAGCAGATCCCAGCCTGGAATCTTTCCAATTCCCAGATCCCGGCCTGGAATCCCAGCCATTCCCAGATCCCAAACTGGAATTCCAGCCATTCCCAGCCATTCCCAGCCGATCCCAGCAGATCCCAGCCTGGAATCTCTCCCATTCCCAGATCCCAGCTTGGAATCTCTCCCATTCCCAGATCCCAGCTTGGAATTCCGGCCATTCCCAGATCCCAGCCTGGAATCCCGGCCATTCCCAGCAGGTCCCAGCTTGGAATTCTGCCCATTCCCAGCCACTCCCAGCAGATCCCAGCCTGGAATCCCGGCCATTCCCAGCAGATCCCAGCCTGGAATTCCGCCCATTCCCAGATCCCAAATTGGAATCTCCCATTCCCCGATCCCAGCCTGGAATTCCGCCCATTCCCAGCAGATCCCAGCAGATCCCAGCCTGGAATCTCAGCCAATCCCAGCAGGTCCCAGCCTGGAATCTTTCCCATTCCCATTCCCAGATCCCAGCCTGGATTCTCTCCCATTCCCAGCCATTCCCAGCAGATCCCACTCTGGAAATTTTCCCATTCCCATTCCCAGATCCCAGCTTGGAATTCCGCCCATTCCCAGCAGATCCCAGCCTGGAATCTTTCCCATTCCCAGATCCCGGCCTGGAATCTCTCCCATTCCCAGCACATCCCAGCCTGGAATTCCACTCATTCCCAGCAGATCCTGGCCTGGAATTCCGCCCATTCCCAGATCCCAAATTGGAATCTCCCATTCCCCGATCCCAGCCTGGAATTCCGCCCATTCCCAGCAGATCCCAGCAGATCCCAGCCTGGAATCTCAGCCAATCCCAGCAGGTCCCAGCCTGGAATCTTTCCCATTCCCATTCCCAGATCCCAGCCTGGAATCTCTCCCATTCCCAGCCATTCCCAGCAGATCCCACTCTGGAAATTTTCCCATTCCCATTCCCAGATCCCAGCTTGGAATTCCGCCCATTCCCAGCAGATCCCAGCCTGGAATCTCTCCCATTCCCAGATCCCGGCCTGGAATCTCTCCCATTCTCAGCACATCCCAGCAGATCCCAGCCTGGAATCTCTCCCATTCCCAGATCCCAGCCTGGAATCTCTCCCATTCCCAGCACATCCCAGCCTGGAATTCCACCCATTCCCAGATCCCAGCCTGGAATCTCAGCCAATCCCAGCAGGTCCCAGCCTGGAATCTCTCCCATTCCCAGCCATTCCCAGCCGATCCCAGCAGATTCCAGCAGATCCCACACTGGAATCCCAGCCATTCCCAGCCGATCCCAGCAGATCCCAGCTTGGAATCCCAGCCATTCCCAGATCCCAGCCTGGAATTCCGCCCATTCCCAGCTGATCCCAGCAGATCCCAGCCTGGAATCCTGGCCAATCCCAGCAGGTCCCAGCCTGGAATCTCTCCCATTCCCAGATCCCAGCCTGGAATTCCAGCCATTCCCAGACCCCAAACTGGAATCTCCCATTCCCAGATCCCAGCCTGGAATCCCGGCCGTTCCCGCCTTTTTCCGGACCCGGATGGAGACGTATCCGTGGGCGACGTCGTCCGGAGCGCACGGGGTCGGCAGCGGCTCCTCCGGGCTCAGGAGCTGCGGGAATCGGGAGCACGGAAAGATCTCCGGGAATTCCGTGGGAATTCCCGCAATCCCGGGAATCTTGGGAATTCCGGCCGGGTTTTTTTTCCCACACCTGGATCCCGGAGAGCTCCTGCAGATCCCGGAGAGCGGATTCCGTGTCCCGGACCAGGATCGTGGCCATTCCCAATTCCCGAGCCGGCTCCAGGTTTTCCTCCAGCTCATCCAGGAAAATCACCTGGGAAAAAAACCGGGAATGGCCCCGGCTCGGATCCGATGGCGGGAAAAATCCTCCCGGCCGCGGATTTTGGGGATTTTGGGATCTTTCGAGGCTTCAAATCCCTGGGAATAACCAAGGATTGATCCAAAAATTTGGGGGACTGGAAAACCGCAGAATTCCCAGGTCTTTTTGGGATTTTGGCATCTCCTGTGGCTTCACGTTCCCACAAAAATCCAAGGATTTGGGAGCCTGGAAAATCCCAAATTCCCAGGGGATTTTTTTGGGATTTTGGCATCTCTGGAAGCTTCAAATCCCTGGGGATATCCAAGGATTCATCCAGGGATTTGTGGGATTGGAAAATCCCGGAATTCCCAGGTTTTTTTGGGATTTTGGCATCTCCTCAGGCTTCAAATCCCTGGGGATATCCAAGGATTCATCCAGGGATTCGGGATCCCAAAAACCCCCCGAATTCCCAGGATTTTTTTGGGATTGTGGCACCTCCAGGGGCTTCCCATTCCCAGGAACATCCAAGGATTCGGGATCCCAAAAACCCCCCGAATTCCCAGGATTTTTTTGGGATTGTGGCACCTCCGGGGGCTTCCCATTCCCTGGAAAATCCAAGGATTCATCCAAGGATTCGGGACCCCAAAAAAACCCCAAATTCCCACTTTTCTGGGGGATTGTGGCACCTCCAGGGGCTTCCCATTCCCAGGAACATCCAAGGATTCGGGATCCCAAAACCCCCGAAATTCCCAGGATTTTTTTGGGATTGTGGCACCTCCGGGGGCTTCCCATTCCCTGGAAAATCCAAGGATTCATCCAAGGATTCGGGACCCCAAAAAAACCCCAAATTCCCACTTTTCTGGGGGATTGTGGCACCTCCAGGGGCTTCCCATTCCCAGGAAAATCCAAGGATTTGAGCTCCCCAAAACCCCCAAAATTCCCAGGATTTTTTTGGGATGGGAATTCCGGCACCTCCCGTGGCTGTGCCTGGAGCTGCTCCAGGGCGTGGCGGTAAATCCCGGGATCCGGTTTGCTCATCCCGATCCGGCAGGATTCCAGCAGCAGCTGGAAGTGGCTCCGGAGGCGCCGCCGGAGCGCGGCCGGAGGGAAATTCCCGGAGCCGGAGTCGTCCAGGAAGGAATTGGTGAGGATGCACGTCCGGAATCCTGGCGGGAGGGGAAAAACAGAATCCCCGTTGGAATTCTCCATCCCGGACCTTGGGAATTCTTCATCCTGGATCTCTCAGGAATTCTCCATCCCGGATCTCGGGAATTCTCCATCCCGCATCTCTTGGGAATTCTCCATCCTGGATCTTGGGAATTCTCCCTCCTGGATTTCTCTCGGGAATTCTCTATCCTGGATCTTGGGAATTCTCTGTCCTGGATCTTTCTCGGGAATTCTTCATCCTGGATCTCGGGAATTCTCCATCCCGGCTCTCTTGGGAATTCTTCATCCTGGATCTTTCTCGGGAATTCTCTATCCTGGATCTCGGGAATTCTCCATCCCGGATCTCTTGGGAATTCTCCATCCCGGATCTCTTGGGAATTCTTCATCCTGGATTTTGGGAATGCTCGATCCCGGATCTTGGGAATTCTCCATCCCAGATTTCGGGAATGCTCGATCCTGGATCTCTCAGGAATTCTCCATCCCAGATCTCTCGGGAATTTCCCATCCCGGATCTCTCAGGAATTCTCCATCCCGGATCTCTCAGGAATTCCCCATCCCGGATCTCTTGAGAATGGGAATTTTTGGGATCCCCAAAACCCCCAAATCTCAAAATTTTATCCCCAAACCCCACCCAAAATTCCCAGATTTTCCCAGGAATTCTGGAATCCTGATCCCCAAAACCCCCAAAATTCCCAGATTTTTTCCCGGATTTCACCGTTTCCATCCCAAATAAACCCCCCCCAAATCCCGGATTTTTTCCGGGAGCGCATTCCCACCGTTCCTGCTCAGGATCCCGGCCGCCCTCAGCATCCGGCCCTGGATCCGCGCCCGCTCCCGGAGCTCCTGGAACGGCCGGGAGACGGAAAATCCCTCGGGAATGGCGATTCCCAAGGAATGGGCGCGACGGCGGCAGCCGGAATCCAGCTCCGAGAGCAGCTGGAAAAAACAAGGAGAGAGGAGGGAGGAATTCCGGGATGGGAAAGGTTGGGAATGTGGGAAATTCCCATGGGAAAAGTTCTGGGATCTGGGAAAAATTCCCGTTGGGAAAAGTCAGGGAATTCGGGGAATTCCCCATGGGAAAATTCCTGGGATCTGGGAAATTCCTGGCGGGAAAAACCCAGGGAAGGGGGGAATTCCCCTATGGGAAAAGGTCTGGAATTGGGGAAATTCCCATGGGAAATTGGGAAATTCCCAATGGGAAAAGTCGTGGAATCAAACTGGGAAATTCCCGGGGGAAAGGTCGGGAATGTGGGAATTCCCATTGGAAAAGTCATGGAATTCGGGGAAATTCTTGGTGGGAAAGTTCTGGAATCGGGGAAATTCCCCAGTGGGAAAAACCCAGGGAAGGGGGGAATTCCCATGGGAAAAGTTCTGGAATCGGGGAAAATTCCATGGGAAAATTTCTGGGAACTGGGAAATTCCCAGTGGGAAAAATCCAAGAAACTGGGAAATTCCCCATGGGAAAAGTTCTGGAATTGGGGAAATTCCCATGGGAAAAATTCTGGAATCAAACTGGGAAATTCCCGGTGGGAAAAACCCAAGAAACCGGGAAATTCCCCTGGGAAAAGTTCCATTTCCGGAAGGGCTCCGTGGGAATTCCGGGGTTTTTCCTGGGGCCGTTCCCGGAGAAAGAATTCCCGGAATTCCCGGAATTCCCACCTGGCTGAAGGTGATGTGGCCGCGCGAGGCTCGGGAATACGGGCTCTGGGATCCGCCGGAGAACAGCGCGTCCCGCAGGAAATTCCTGCCGGGAACAGCCGCGCTGGGAATCCCAGAGCACAGATCCCAAATCCCTGATCCCAAATCCCAGAGGACAGATCCCAAATCCCTGATCCCAAATCCCTGATCCCAAATCCCAGAGCACAGATCCCAAATCCCTGATCCCAAATCCCTGATCCCAAATCCCTGATCCCAAATCCCTGATCCCTGATCCCAAATCCCAGAGCCCAAATCCCGAGCCCAAATCCCAAATCCCAGATCCCAAACCCCAGATCCCTGATCCCAAATCCCAGAGCCCAAATCCCGATCCCAAATCCCAAACCCCAAATCCCAGATCCCAAATCCCAAATCCCTGATCCCTGATCCCAAATCCCAGATCCCAGATCCCAAATCCCAGAGCCCAGATCCCAAATCCTGATTCCAGATCCCAGATCCCAAATCCCAAATCCCAGATCCCAGATCCCAAATCCCTGATCCCAGATCCCAAATCCCAGATCCCAGATCCCAAATCCCTGATCCCTGATCCCAAATCCCAGAGCCCAAATCCCGATCCCAAATCCCAAACCCCAAATCCCAGATCCCAAATCCCAGAGCCCAGATCCCAAATCCTGATTCCAGATCCCAAATCCTGATTCCAGATCCCAGATCCCAAATCTCAGAGCCCAGATCCCAAATCCCGATTCCAGATCCCAAATCCCAAATCCCAGATGCCAGATCCCAAATCCCTGATCCCAGATCCCAAATCTCAGAGCCCAGATCCCAAATCCTGATTCCAGATCCCAAATCCCAAATCCCAGATGCCAGATCCCAAATCCCTGATCCCAATTCCCAAATCCCAGAGCCCAGATCCCCATCCCAGATCCCAAATCCCTGATCCCAGATCCCAGATCCCAAACCTCGGATTCGAAACCCCAAATCCCCATTCGCAATTCCCAAATCCCAATCCCTGATCCCAATCCCAAATCCCAGTCCCAAACCCCAGATCCCAAACTCCAATTCCCAAACCCCAATTCCCAAATCCCGAATCCCAAATTTCAGATCCCAATTCCCAAACCCAATTCCCATAACCCAGATCCCAAATCCCGAATCCCAATCCCAGATCCCAAATCCCAACCCTCAAATCCCAAATCCCAAATTTTCGATCCCAAATCCCAAATCCAGAGCCCAAACCCCAAATCCCAGATCCCAAATCCCAAAATCCCAAACCCCAAACCCCAAATCCCAGATCCCAAACCCCAATTCCAGGGAAACTGAGGCAGAAATCCCGGGAGCTGCCTGAGGAATTTTGGGAATCGTGACTCCCGGGATCGATCCCAACAAATCCCGGGAATGAGAAATTCCCAAAAAATCGACCGGGAGGCCCCTGGGATTTGCTCTGGGATTTATGATCCCAATTTTTGGGATTTATTATCCCACTTATTGGAATTAATTATCCCATTTATTGGAATTAATTATCCCATTTATTGGGATTTATTATCCCATTTATTGGGATTTATGATCCCATTTTTTTGGGATTTATTATCCCAATTTTTTGGAATTAATTATCCCATTTATTGGGATTTATGATACCGGTTTTTTGGGATTTATTATCCCAATTTTTTGGAATTAATGATCCCATTTATTGGGATTTATTATCCCATTTATTGGGAATTATTATCCCATTTTTGGAATTAATCATCCCAACATTTTTGGAATTAATTATCCCATTTTTTTGGAATTAATGATCCCATTTTTTTGGGATTTATTTTCCCATTTTATTGGGAATTATTATCCCATTTTTGGTATTTATTATCCCATTTATTGAGAATTTTTATCCCATTTATTGGGATTTATTATCCCATTTTTTGGAATTAATTATCCCATTTATTGGGATTTATGATCCCTATTTTGGGAATTAATTATCCCATTTTTTTAGGGATTCATTATCCCATTTTTCGAATTTATTATACCAATTTTTGGGAATTTATTATCCCATTTTTTAGGGATTTATTTTCCCATTTTTTTGGGTTTTATTATCCTAATTTTTTGGAATTAATTATCCCATTTATTGGAATTAATTATCCCATTTATTGGAATTAATTAACCCATTTTTTTT